GGCAATAGCGAAAAGCTAGCCCAAACTATAAATTTTAGAAAACTAACTAGTGCCACAATCAATTCCATTCTGCAGCATCACTATTTTTATAAATGTTTTGTTTCACAACAAAATTGGATTTAATAATCGCCATTGTACGACGTAGTTATTACATACATTAACATCGTACGACATTAATATATTGTTATGATTAGTGCAGGCGGTGCGGAAATATACATCTGGATGTGGACATAACATTACACACGTATTTTTGTTCTTATTTGTATCCAAAACTGAGCACATATAGAGTAGTTCTAAATACTCCCTTTTGTGGAATATTCATAACTATATTCATAGAGTAATCTGTGTAGAATTGGCGTAAGCATGTTTTTAAAATCTACTTTAAAACGAACTTCATTTAAAATTTATTTTATGAACATTCTTTTGTTCTTTAGTGTATCAAAAATACCTCGCGGGGAACTGCAACGTCTCAGTGATTAATGCACTGATGACTGACGGGTTGCATAAATACCCACATTAGTATTTATAACGCAAAGGTTTTTCATTTAATTTAAAAACGAATTTGAGCTTTCTGCTTAACCAAATTTTGTGTTTGTTTTTTTCTTTAAATAAAAGGTAAAGGTTTCTAGATGGGTTATCACTTGATCTTATTAACTGAATTTTTAAATAAAACGCTAAATTGTATTAATATTATATTAAAATTAATAGAATGAACGCTTATCTGCCGTCATTTGTTCATTCCATCATTTCCAAGACCCAACTAAAATAATTTAGAATTAAAGGATATCCTTGCATCATGAGATTACAGAAAGTGAAGTGATTGATTGATCGGTGATTTCAAGCGCGACAACGACTCAGACTCGACCCGTAAGTTTAGTGCATATTTTATCGTGCTAAGCGACTGAGATCTCCCCGTTGGATGGCGAGGTCCGGTGCCGACCTACCCGTTGGCTCGCGGGGTTTCCGCGCTCGATCTCCCACCAGCGGGGCGTCGCCCTAGCCGGGACAAGCTCTAATCTCCTGACCGGTCTCCCGGCGTTTGTGGTAGTGTAGCGCATGTAAGGGGTGAGGGGGAGGAGGAAGAAGAAAAGATCGCGCGCGATCTGTGGCCCGTTTATTAGGGTATTGCTCTGGCATTCGCCTGATGTTTATCGGAGGAGAGAGAGAGAGAGAGAGAGAGAGGGGGGGAGAGGGAGAGAAGAGCTTTTTTCTTAATGAAATTGTTCTTCAAAATTAAATCCTTAGGTCTGAATTTCATAAAAATTCTGAATTTTTGAAACTTACAGGTGTTGAACTTTTTTTAAAGTGTTGGGAACGTTCATATGACAATTCAAGTGGGTAAGTCAAAGCATTTGCAAAACCTTAATGCCTGAGCTCGAATCCCATTGAGAGCAAATGGGTTGGAAACATTTTCAAAATATACGAATTACGTAACCGTTCCAAATAATGCGGGAACGAATGTGCTGGTGTAGTACCATTAGTTTTCAATTAAAATCTGATGATTTTCCATCCATCCGAATGATGTTTCTTAACTTTTTCTCTTGGTTTCCTTTTTGAAGAACGTGTTGGTAACTTCTCTGTTCATTGAATTAAATCGCATTTACTGATGAACAACAGATTGCGAGATAAATTTCTATGAAGTCATGAGTGTCATTTATATGTTTCCCAACAACTTCATTTACTCTTTTCAATGTAGGTGAAGTTTTCCCAATGTTGTTTAGGGCAGGGACGGTTGATCCATTTGAAGGTTTCGTGTGGCGATGATACTCAAGAAAGCTGTGAAATGTTTGATGTGTGTATTTTCCTTGTGTTCTTCTGCAGAGAGAAAGGTGTAATTGTTGTCCGACGTCATTTGAAGGCTTTCAGTGCCGGTATTTACCTTCCTTGTACTAGTAGTATCATCGAATCCTTCGCCAATTTTGTCTGGGAATTTTCTGCAATTCATGCCTAACTTCCCTACCTATATTTTCCAATTCTAATTGTACCAAATCTCCATTCTTAATTATAATATTCCTCCTATCCAACAAAATTCTACACGGTTATGTCAAATTCTGGACGTGCCTTAGTATATGTCACACAAAAGGGAACTAGAATTTCGTGACTCCAATACACAGAGGCGGCCAGGAGGCTTCAATTTGGCTGAGGCCTCTTCCTCCTTCCTTACGCGACACATGAAGTCTATGTACATCAGTTCGAGGGTTGAGACATGATGCATTGTAAGCAGTTTTCTGGTTTGTCAAACCATGACTAATCCGAAACTATACTCGGCTATAGGCGCCGCCGAACTACCTATTGCAGATTTTTTTATTCCTGGAGTTCAGAGCGGACTGCAGAACACGTCTCACTCTTCTGTAATACTCCCTGCAAATTCTCTCTTTCATTGTGTCGTTCGAGATGTTTTCACATTCTTTAATTCTCAGATATTTGTAAGTTTTACTTGGCTCACGATCTTGAATCACAGCGGGCAAATCATCTTCAATGCCCTTTGGCGTCACTTTCCCCCTCTTTAAATTGATTTTTGCACACTTGTCAAGTTTCATGCCGATATCATTACTATAATCATTGATGAGAGCATTTGGAAGAGAATCGCTACATTCTTAGCAAACACTTTAAGATAATCCATGTATGATCCAACAAATATGATACAGGTCTTTCATCACTATGGAGCTTGTAACCAAAGTCAGTGTGCGATAACGGTCTAGAAAGTGGGATCAAACTAATACAAAACAGCAGAGGGGATAGCGAATCTCCTTGAAAAATACCCCGGTTAATTTGAATACGTATTATTTTTGTTTCTCTGCTTCCTCTCGCTGTGTATTAGTAACCTGGTACTCCACGACTTCATACTAGCCTTGCAAAACTCAACGCGTCTAGGATAAAATCGATAGATCTCCAGGGTCTTCAAAATCCAATCGTGTGGTACAGTGTCATATTCCTTCTGGAAGTCAATCCAAACCATGCCTAAATTACGTTTTCGTTTCCTTACATCATTCAAAAAACTTATTTAGTAGCAAGATTTCCTCACAACCATAGGAACCTTTACGACATCATTTTTGCTCTATTGGCAACAGATGGTTCTTCTCTACGTGTCTGTACATTTTGTTAGGTATGGCTACAGTTATAACATGATTTAATTTCTTAATCCAATAATTCTGAATATTATCAATTCAGTTGTCTAGAAGCACGCAGAAACCATTGAAACAGCATGCACTTAAAACTGTAGTATCATAACAAAGAGTTTACACTTTATCTTTGAGATTCCAGTTTACAATTTGGTTCCTAGGAGCTTGCACGTGTTCGCTTCCCGAAGAGCTTTTCAGACTTGGTTCAGCTATAAGTTATTTTTTTATTTCCATATGAAATAACGTTCGGAAAGTGTTCTTCGTTTGACTTCATTTCATAAGATCATTTTTGTTCATCTAAAGCAGGCAACAGCTTTCAATTTCAATGAACAGTTACAAAGTCTGGTACATCGTTTTGAAAATCAACTTTTATGGCTTCTGCACAAGCTTATCGTTTATTCGTACGAATTATTTGAATTGAGTATTTACTTATTGAAAATTCATAAGTATTATGTCCAAATGCCTCAATGGTAACTTCAATAATATGTACAGAATCTCATGCTTAGCTGACACCTATCAAGCTCTGCTACTAATTTTGGATTAATGAAATAATTCCACTTGGATGTTGTCCTGGTCATGTTCTCGATCAGGTTGGCAAATCTGCTTGCAAATTCATATTTTCATTAGAATCAGAAGATGAATAGGTGTTTAACAGCTCATAAGATGGCGTCAAAGCAGTTGGCGCGGAGAAATATTAAGCACGCCGCTTTTCTTCCTCAATAGTTCCAAGGCGTGCCCTTTGCTCTTTATCAGTCAGTTTTTTGAGGGAAGTTTTGAACTCATTATTTTATGTTTCACATTCCCTAAAAAATACGTTTTCAGACCTGTGTTATTGTACGGTCATGTCGATCGTTTGAAAGCAATACATTTACTAACAAAATAGCAAGTAATTTCTAGCAAGTCGATACGCGAGCTCGCGTTAGCCTGTGTCTGCAAGAACTGACAAGTTTCCATGCAAGTGGGCAAGAGTTGCCGTGGTCCTACGTTCACGAAATTTAATTTACAATTGCTTTGGCATCAAACCAAAAAAGAGGGTATACGTTAGGAAAATATACTGATTTGTATGGGTCACCCGAATACACACATACAAACGGCAGCAAATTCTGTGACTGAGAGCCATCAGTCGCTGGTATTTCAACACTCTCCGCATTTCGTTTCATTTCAACCACACAATTATCTCCCTTAATGTGACTAGCGCTTTATCCTTTGTGGGAGACACATTCACTTGAACCGAACTGTCGACACCGCGGGTAGAAGCGCTACTTCAGGGAGCTGCCTTGGCAACAGTTTTGTCTTCACTCACACGACGCGCGTGATGTGGCGCTTCTAAAAATGTTGGAATATTATTTTATGGAATGGAAGAAGGAACTTCTTTGGAATTATTCATTAAACAATTCTGTTTTCACATATTTCCAATTATTTATAATTATTCGATAGTAATACAAATTATTTGTATTGTAGGCGACTTTCATCCCATCCTTGCTCTTGCTATCCCATGCTTGCTGAATTAATGTTAGAAAGCCTATAAATGTTCCAAAAGCAATATTTGTATCAGTAGCGTAAGGAAGAGGGAAAAAAGCTTGTTGAATGGTTCAGTTTCATAGATATTACTTCCTCACAACTCAACATAGTTACATGCAAAAGACTTTCTAGGAAAATGAAATATTTTACGTCCTACATAGAAGAATGCGCGATTTAGTACAAAGAATGATACAAATGCATTTATGTAATAACAATGAGCAAAAACTATAGTACCCTGTTTCAAAGTTGAAATTTTACACGATTCCCATATACTATTAGAATAAGAGGTAAAAATAGTAATTTAAAATTAGTCTACGCGCTCCCCTTCCGCGCGAAATTGTACTGTTGGCGGTCATGTGTTTTACGTCATCTCTGGCCTGTTACTCGCCTAGCGTCGATAAGCGGTCTTTTCGTAGGCTCTGGATGCTATTTGCTGGCTGGCTGGTTGGTCGTGTCCCTGATCCTGAATCCTCAATGAAGGAGGGGCTTCGTTGTTGTCAGCGCTGTGTCACGTGAACATCTTACAGCCCTCACCGACGAGTTGTTTTATCTGTCACACTGTGCTTCCGACCGCGACTGCCTGGCCACAGCCAGTAGTCCAACGCTGTTCGATACTGGTAGGTAGGTGGGATGAGCATTGAAGTTTCGCCCGGTTTCATCACGACAGGCAAGTTGATATCTTCAATTATATTATTAATGTGATTATATGTGCCTTTCAATTCTTTAGAGATTTTGTAAGAACGAAGATACGGCTAATGGCAGTGGTCTTATATGTCAATGTGTGGTTTCGTTTATAGTAGGATAGTGTCAATTTTCTACACGCTTCAAAACGCAACGATGAGAAACTTACAGATGGCTTATTCCATGGGGCTCAAAGGTTTATCCCGTCCCGTTGTTCGAATTCAGTCTAGTCAAGTATGTATTGATTATTTTATGTCTTGTATTTTTGTTTCATGTTATGACTTGTATTTGTAATGTGTTGTGGCAAAGCTTTAAGATCTTCTTTGCAAGTTAATGGAGGTTATTTCTGAAGTTAATTTGGCATTCGTTACAAACGAAATTCATTTGGTAGTAAAGTGTTGCAAAAATATAAATGTCAATTTTTGTGTTCTAGTTTGTGTGTTTCACTTTTAGGTGTTCTGGAGGAAAATTCTTCCCACAAATTTATTATAAAATTTATTTTAAAATAAATTTGCTTGTTATTTAGATATTTACTATTAGGCATTTTTTAAAACTTTTTTTAGCGGAAACATTTGTTCCCTGTTCATGGTAAAATCTTATAGACGACTTCAATAAATGTGAAAATTTGTCATTTTTATTATTATTATATTTATTATATATTATTATTATTATTATTATTATTATTATTATTATTATTATTATTATTATATTTATTATATATTATTATTGTTGTTATTAAAATGATTATATGTTGATTAATGTATAATGTAGAAAATTAAATGGCTCTATTTAACTGTTACCTTGCAATCATTGTTCTCGCACATTTTGCATATCTCTGTTCAATCTTCATTTTACTCCCTTCCTAAGGAAAACATTATTTATTCAATTCATAAATCATTAAGGAAATCTTAGGAATTAAAGATGTATTTTTCATTATCTAGTATCCATCCATGCTAACTTGCAAAAAGAATTGAAATTTATTATCAAATGTTTTGTGAGGGAAACTTTTCTTGGAATGTAAAATTTAATTTAAAAACAAAATTATTGACCTGAATTATTTTATAATGGCTATTTTGTGTGCCATTAAAACAGTCAGCTGTTAAGAAGAGTAAAATTGTTTATTTAATTAATGTATAACTAGTGAAGTTTCTATCTGAAAATTCTGATGTGGAGAGAAAAAAAGTTGAAAATGACAAGTACTCTTTAACTTGCATCTAGCATTTTTTTTTGCAATTTCTGTAAAATTTGTGCAAACATTTTAAACAGACCAGTAATCGAAAGAACAAGAGGTAATGTACAGTGTTGGAATATTTCAATACAAGTGTTAATTAATTTGTCCTTCAATAACATATTTTTTGATTCAAACAAAATGATAGTGTTGATTTGCTTTAAACAGTGAATTGAGAAAAAATACAATGACCTTCATTTTGGTTTTACCCATTTCCATACTTGTACTTCCTGTTTGTCTTGTTTATTGTCAGCTTGATTTGTCTCTTCGTGTTCACATTTTGAACGTGAAAGTTGTTTTCAATAATTTTTCTTAGGAACTCGTATTAAGATATGATAGGAAGGTAGTGTTGCAAATGAGAAACAAATATCAAGCGGCTACTGAAATAGTTAAAATATTTTATATTAGAATAGGTTAACTAAACCTTTATGAAACATCACCTTTAACAAGGATAGTATTATGTATGAAAGTTAAGAAATGTCTTATTTGTACACACTTTTGCAAAAACATTTTTGTGTGAGATTGATCTTGTTGTTGTTTTTTATGTAAGAATAAATATCCCATGGTTGCATTACAGATGTTACTGGTTCCAACTCTTTGTGGATCAAGAGTGAATAGTTTTGTGAGGAATATGGCGTCACGTTCATACCAACAACATGTTCTGACCAAAAATCTGACACTTGTTACCACTCAAGGAGGTTTGAAGGTGGGAAAGGATCATGAAGTGACCTTGTTGAGTGATCTGGAGAAAACCCGGCCCCTTGTGGTGCTCCTATCATGGCTTTTAGCAAAGCAAAAACACATTCTTAAGTTTGCTGACTTTTATCTTGACCAAGGGTTTGATGTGCTCACTGTCAGCATACAGCCATGGCAGATGTTATTACCTGCTCGAGGCACTCAGGTAATTCATGTTCAGTTTACTACCTGTGAAAGTGGCCATCAACATTACTACATTTTTTATAATTGAGTAGGAAATTTGCAATAGGAGAATTATTCTGTGGTATATTCATTCACCATAATTTAGGGATTATATTGTTATGCAAGAACTTCATTTCTTCTCCATTATATATCAAACAGCAGCAATAATGTTGCTGAAAACACACACATATGCAAAATTGTTTTCCGAAAAGTGGCATTCACACTGCTCAAGATCCACAAATGAAGTACCCTCATATACCACAACAATAAATTATAAATTTCACACGAACAGTCTTAAGGAATATTGAAATAGCACAATATACTGATACACAGTAGGCCTATAACAGTTCTTTATCTACCAAGAATGTCAGAAAAGTTGCTGTTTCATAATTCAACATGTGGTGTGTGACCTCTTCCTTGGTGCCTTGCTGCCACATAATGTGAGCTATGTTGTAAGCAGTTATCCTCTGAATTCAAATGGAAGGATTCAGATGGTACATGCAATATGAGAATATGCAGTATATCACAATCAGATATTTGCTTTTTTAAGCAATATTGGTTATTATTCAGTTTGAACTGTTTCAATGGTTTTGGTCCCTGGATATCTAATGAAACCAGATACCTCGTACATGGCTTGGGGGGTGCATAGTTTTCTGCATGCATGGGAAAATAGTAATATAAACATGTTTTGTAGTTTTCCAAGAGTTCTAAGGTATCTAACAAAACCTCCCAATTAGCCATGCACTGCTTATTTTTCTTTCAATTTATGCATGCATTGGAAATTAGGAATATTGATTTTTTGTTGCAAAATGTCACTTGGAATTGGTGTGTTTGAATTGTTTAAGTGGTGTTATATTGCATTAAAGTGATAAGCAAGAAAAAATCTTCTCTTCTTCTTAAAACCAATAATATTGATTAGACACTTGATAAATATTTGTGATATATTTTTATAAAAATATCAGTGAGGAATTTGTTGTTCGCAGGTTCTAGGAGCAGACCTCTTGAGGTTCTTGCATATAAATGATTGCTACCAACCTCTCATGCTGCATGGCTTTTCAGTTGGTGGTTATGTTTGGGCTGAAACTCTTGTCAAGATAAATGAAGATCTTAAAAAATATCAGCCTACCATAGATCGATTTGTAGGACAGGTATTTATAATTTATATGAGAAAGCTTCAGATATTGTTCAAGGACTGTAATTTTGGCACAAATTGCAAAATAAAGTTTGGGAATAAGGTATTCACTAGCAATCAAAATGTAGGTATAACACACACAATAATAGACGGATTATGGAAGAAGCATTACTAGATTGTTTTCATAAGAGTTCTGTGCAAGGCAATAATTGATAGTGGGGAATGCCAGGGATTGTTGCTTTTTTTGAATTTGATGTCCCCTGCTGGCAAAGTATGAATTTCTTTTTGCGAGAAACATAATTAATCAGTTTTGAGATGCATCATTTATGGTTTGTGTACATTGATATGTTCAAAACAAAAACAACAAAGAAATTGGAAAAGAAGTGTATCCGAAAACATTCTTAAGATTTATTAAAACTGCAGAAATGCTCTTAATTTCAGTCATCAGTTTGTCAATTCTTTCAGTTCTGAAGAAAATTGCCAATTTGTACTCTGGTTATGTGAATAATATTAAATAAAGTAAGTTATTAATCAGAGTTTATCTCAAATCAGAGCTATTTCTCTAGTTGGCCAGTTTTACAGCCCATGAACAATAATTTTTTTTTTCTGTGGTTAACTACCTTGTTAGTTTTTTAATTTAATTGGAATTCAGTACATCAATAAAAATCGTAACATATATTTTAATGCAACTTAGTCTACACAAGTAATCATGTACATTTTATAGGTGTGGGATAGTGTTGCAGACATCACAGAGATACCTGTTGGCTTTCCTAAAGCAGTATTTCCAAATAACCCTATTTTGCAGGCAGCAACTGAAAAATATGTTAGGTAAGTTTGCCTAAAACTTGGCCCATTATGAAAAGATCACAAAACTAATTATTTAAAGTTTTTAAGAGAATTTGCGTGATCATAAATCCTTAACACACAACAGCAGAAAGGGGATAAGAATGTGGATCAATGAAATTGTAGGCTGTAAGCTGGAAGGAACAAGGCTAAAGCGTTAATAAATTGACTGTGATAATAAGAGCCAAAGAACAATAATTTCAAAAATGAGAAACTGAAGGTGATTTATTGAAAGCATTGAAGAAAATATTGAGGACTCAATAGAAGCAATTTAAAATGTTGATATTACTAAATTTATACATTAAAGATAAAATTTCATTAGTTTGCATTGCAGAGAAAATGAGGTGAATCACCTATTCCACCATTTTTACAGCACTTAATCACTAGAGAAGCAAAATGAAATGGGTAAATAAACTATGGAGATGAAAACAGATTGGAACTCATGGTTGAGCGCAGAAAATATAATAAACAAGGCTAGTAAGGGGCTGTCCATAAATTAAGTAACGCAAATTTGGTGTATTTTGAATACCCCCTCTCTCCCCGTAATGCTCTCGTAATGTGTGATTGAACTCCCCCTAAATAATTATGAAACGCTTGTGACAAATGCAAGATGTGAAAATACATTGTAGCTCAGTACAAGAATAGTATACATTGTTTTATGTTATTTTTTAAATTTTATGATAATTAAAGTTGGAATTAGTTGTCAATGTTGTCTGCACTTAAGTGCAGAAGGCAAATTTTGAGTGAAGGAAAGACACGCTGGCAGGAAAATTTCTGATCACACGACGTGCACACACTGCCATTTTTGATGGTGCATGGGCGAAAATCTACAGTGCTGATTTAATATTCTAAAAAATACTACAGATCAGTTTTGAATATTTTCTTTGTAATCTTACAGCTACAATACAAAATTGATGAAAAAATATGTCCATATATTGTTACAACCTTAAATAACTTAACATTATTTATATTATGAAACAAAATAATTAGATAAAATTTTAGTATAAGAATAAAAGGAAGTTATTCAAAATATGTTAAAAATAAAAAAAAATCAATGTTGCATAACACTAATCGAATACCCCCTGCCCCTATGTAATGCAGCATAACGCTGCTTCAAACCCCCTCTGCCTCTTTAGTGTTATATAATTTATGGGCGACCCCTATTTGAAATAATTTTTTTAAAGATCAAATTAAGAGAAAAAGACCTAGAGGGTTGTAGGTTAATCATGACAAGCAGTCTTAAAGATACAATGATATTGAAGAATAGTCAATACTATTCACATATTAAACAATGTGTTAAAGTAAGAGGGGAATCCACAAGTCAGATGGAAGTACATCACTTATTTCTTAGAAGACACGCGGGCCAAGCATAGGCACGGTGGAAAAGATAGCACTGACATTCTCATTTTGTGTAGCCAGTTCTTTAGATCTGTGTTACACGAGCGTTTCGTTGACGCGCGTCACGACGCTGATGGCAGCTACGTCAACGTGCGTCGATGCCTGCGGACATGATTCGCTTAACGCGTATCTTTATGCTTTCTGCATTTTATGCGAAACGGCACAGAAGCGGCCTTAGCGACGTGCAGTGTGCTCACTGCGTGAGTTACAATGTAAGTCATGATACCGCGAGTTTTCTAGCTGTCAACGCGCGACGACCGCTAGGCGTTGGCAAGAACACATCTCCGAGACAGCTCTTGTGCCGTTTCGCAGAAGATAGTGTAAGTCTACAATGCGCCGACTTACGCCACTCGTGTGGGCAGGCATCGACACATCTGACGTCATCAGCGTTAGGTGACGCGCGTCAACGCATCGCTCTTGTGACACAGGCCAAATTGTCATTATAAGTATTTGATTCCCTCGAATTTCGAGATCACCTTTAAATGCTCCGAATTTTTATCGGGCAAAATTGATGATCTTTTGCAAAGTCGCACTAGCGCCTCTTATTTTTCATCCTTTAGGGTTGTCCAAAATCCAAAATGCTGAGTTGAAACGCCCTACGCAGTGACGAAATTAAATTACCTGAATACTGAATTCAATACAAAAATATGAGGGTTCCTCTACGATAACGTAGATGTTCTCACTAATTGGTCACCTATGTCATTATCATTTGGACTTAAAAAGATTTTCATTATGAACATATAGTAAGCTTGAAAAATATATAAGCCTAAAACTCATATCTGACATAATTTAGCATGGGAAGTGTAGAAATTTATCCAGGACTTACAAAAAACAATGTATAAACATGCAAATTGTATAATCAGAGTTCCACTACACTTATGTTTAGAAAACTTCAGTCGCTAGCATTAGTTACATATAAGAGCAATTTTACTCTCACTCCACATACACTGCACAAAACATTAAATCACCATTGCCTCTTTGGGGCATGGTATTAAGCAAGTGTTTACTCTTGCTATGTAACTATTCACACAAGACTTTTCACACATGAATAACAAGTACAAAATATTCTCTCTCTTTATATTTCTAATGTTGTGGTTTATTTTTATAGATATCATATGTCTGCATTCCATAACATTGCTACATGCCATTACATTCGTGCTAGTCAAATGTTTTACACGACTGTTATACGCAGTCCTGCTCTATTCTTTCTTTCAAAAACTGATCCTGTTGGCTCAATTGAATCTATTACTCGCTGTCGTGATTCCTGGGATGCTCAAGGAATAAAGGTAAGAAGATGAAAAAAGGTTCAATCTTGCAAAATACATGGTGATAACTGTACAAATCCTTTAAGATTGTCATTTTGAATCTTAAAAATTGATTTACATTTTTGGAATGCAATTTTACCAGATATAAAATTAATATAATTTATGAATGTAGTAATGTCTTGAGAATTTTGAATCTTTTATACTCTGTTAATCTGTCAAAAAGAAAAGCATTCTAAAAGCCATGTCGAAATATCAATTTATTCATATTTAAATACTTACGCAGGGAAAATGAATCTGTAATTATTGTAACTGGAGGGAAAAGTGCAGTAGTAAGAATTGAGAAGTTTTTGTTTAATTTTATTTCCATACAGTGTTTTGTGGAACAATTTCGGGAATCAGAGTTAAATTAATTTGTATTGTGCTTCTCTGAAAATTGTTTTTACTAGTATTAATTTCAGTCATTTTCTCTATGTTGTGCTTTAATGTTCCCTCAATTTTTATGTATAGACTTACATGAAATGCTGGGATAAATCACCTCATGTTCTGCATTACCGCCATCATCCAAAGGAATATGCAGCTGAATTGTATGCTTTCATGGATCGTCTGGGAATGTTAGCAAATCCAGAGAAGTTTCGGGCTAAATTGTGAAAGGTTTTGACATTGTGTAGTGTTGAAGAGACTATCTTTCATTTAAATGCCTGTTATTTGCAGTGTAAATTTGAATTTTAAAATTCCTGTTGAACTATTTACATCTTCGAAAATATTTGAAGTTATCACTGCCAGATCCTCTTTGCACTATGTGCCCAAATAAAGAAGCAAAAGTATTTAATAATGTGAAATTTTCTGATACAACCATACATTAAACTTTTGTGAAAAGAAAGATGTATTCAAAGAAGATGATTGCTGTAAATGTATTAGGAATAATGTAATCGGAAGTATATGGAAAGTGTAGTTCAAAAGTGTAATTTCAAAACCTGAGAAACATGCTATGGATGGATTGTTTAAAGTTATGGATTGCATTTAAAAAAATAACTTGTGATAAACTTTCTAGAAATAATTTGGAGCTATATAAATATTCATAGGAAAATTCTTAATAAAAGAAAAGTCAAGATTAAATTTTAAATTGTGTGAAACTTATTCAGGTATTTCAGTTTTAAATTTTTGATATTTTGTTTTCTTTTTGTGTATTAGAGCCAAGAGGTTATTCTGAAAAGAAAAGAAAAAAAGGCAATTTGTTAAAACTATTTGCTTAAAATTTAAAAATGGGAGGGAAAAATTCAATCACTTTATTTCAGAGCTAAGCTGTGACCTCTTAGCTTCCAAACGTTTATTTTAAATAATGGGACAGATCTCAGGTTTCTGTTATAAATTACAAGACAATGTGGAATAAGCTTGCATAAGAATTTTTACAGAAAATGCTACAGATGGTAAGGATTGGTATGAAGAGTTGCAACTGTTAATAGGCTATGATTGAAAGGATTATTGGCAATTTACCATCATGAAAGTGGAATTATGCAGAGGGAAATAAAATGCAACACTTCTAAGATGTTTATTCATAGCTTTGCTCTCTTTTCTTAAGGACACCAGCATCTTCACCCCACCATATATTTAAAATAATCCTTTCAATCATAGCCTCTTAAAAATTGCAACTCTTCATACTGATTCTTACCAGGTGAAGAATTTTCTGCAAAAATTTAAAATTCAAAAAACAACTAGTTGTTTGAAGTGATTTACTTATTTGCCTCAGACGTGTTACATGCTCTTTGAGAGTAACAACTTGAAAAGCTGCACATTTCAGAATGCTGGGTTAACAAGTACAAATTAATTTTTGTTGATTGTTAAAGCAAGTAATTACTGTTTCATTGACAGTTTCTTTGCTTCAGTGAATGAGTGTAAAGAAAACTATTATCCTTCCTGAACATCTGTCATAATGAAAAACTATTACCTTTTCCTGCATTGTAGAATTTTTTGCATCTTCAGGAGGACAAGTCGATATGCAAGTATCCAAATTCTACTTTCATTATCATTAATAATGGTCAGGTTTATTCAAGTATTTGTATAATAATTTGAAGCAAATGATATCCAGGATCAACATCAATTCTTCCTTTTTGAATCTCACTGACATGTTGACTCACCAGACAAGTCAAGTTAAGTTGATACTCATTTTCCTGTCTTTGTTTTGATTTTCACCAGCTTAATAAGAATAGTGAAATAAACCCCTCTTAATATTTGAAAAGTAAAAACAAGCATTCAATGTCTTTGTCCTTTAGAAGTTGAATGGACGCAAGTTGTATTGCAACTTTATAATATATTTTGACTCTTTTGTGACTAGAAATCTAAACATCAAGTAAAGTCCAGGTTTCTAATCATACTGAGTCTGTTTGTTGGTATTTATTTCTCTCTCTTTGTCTGTCTGTCTTTCTTTGTTTTTCCTTCCTTTTTTCTTTCTGGTACTATAACACTATGTAGTCCTCTAACTTATTAGCCCCCCCCCTTTTTTGTGGCCCATTCAAAAATATTGGTCTGAATCATTTGGCAAATCTGCATGCCAAGAGTACAATGAAAATAGTGAATCAGTATTTTTTCATACAATGGAGTACAATAAATATAATCAGTAATGTTAGGTCTGCATTAAGAGTTTTTGACTTGTAAATGCAATATCAAAACATTTATCAAAACCAACTAGGCTTTATCTGTGAATAAAACACAATATCAAATTATTCAAATAAGATATTTAGGAACAACCTCATCTTATATTCGGGTAAATAGGCTAATCATTTAAGGTATTATTTTTTAAGTCCATTCTTTTGCAATACATTGATGTTTTAAAGTCATGTTATATAATGCAATTCAGCAGAGAACTACACACATTAAAATTATTTCTTTGGGTAAAATACCTTATATAAAGAATGTTATTTTGTGCTAACTCTTATGCTTATAATTAGTATTATGAAAATGGTTAAGTTCAGTTCTGGACACCATTCTTTATTATTTTAGTCATTTTGCTTAAAATTTGAAGAAGTGAAAAGAAAAAGAAATGACAGAATTTCCATTGTGAAACAAGAGATTGACATTTGTGAATTTGAAGAGATGCCAACATATTTCAGACTTGCTTCAAATAAGAAAAATAAATATATTTTAAGTTGTACCTTGGCTCTTTAAGTGATGTTAATAAATGTGTTGGAATGAAGGAAAAAATAATGAAGCATGGGGTAGACAGAGAGAGACTGGCTTGGACTCTTTTCAGTAGTAGTGCAGCTTCATGAATTGAAATAATTTGTAGTGTAAGTCTTTACAAGGGTAAGATTATTTATATACACCTTTTCTAAATATATTTCAAAAGACTGCTGTATTAGTAAGATATTCAGTTTTCCACCAAGATATTTTATTTGCTCATTGTCTCTTTAGTGGCAGAAAAAATTGTTACTTTTGAGACTTTATTCTGTGAAGAATAAATGACTTTATTAATACCAATGTTAATTGAGTTTATTGTTTAAGTGTTAAAGAATTTGAAATTTTATGATTCAGCATGTAATTAATTTAAATATTGGATAGTTGCATCTGTCAGAACCGTTTTATTTTATGCAGTATATTAAAGGATTGCAAAAAGAACACAAAGCTTTAATTTATACATTTATATCAGGTGGTAAAAATACTCACTAGCAGGTCCCCCATCATTTTAGCAAGTATTGGCTTCAAGTATTGGCATAGAATCATGTACAATTTTGTTTTTGTAATTTTTTTAATTTTATCACAATCACCACAACCTTGTTTACATTTCCAATACTCTGGATGTGGTCAGCGTCTCTTAAAACAGCAAGTATATTGTGTTTCTGACGGCTGGCTGGAGAATGAAGTTTCTGAGCCTAAAATCGGGTGTGATTGCAGGGCGCTGCAAGATACACGTCTGTTGTAATTTGCATACTAATGTTGTGAATTCAAAAATTTGTGTTTATAGTTAGTAACGAGAAAAGTATGTTTATTTTTCTGCTGTACTGAAAAATATCTTCAGCTCTTTGACATGCAGTAAGCACAACTTTCTGGACTTCATAGAAAAAAGAAGAGCAATCAAAGGGAAACTGCTGTGTGAAAACAGCATTTCTTATCAAAATGCCATTAGAAACATTCATTTAACTGAAGACAAAACTGTGGCGTATGTTTTACCACCTAAAAAGACTCATCTATTTATATTGTTTCTATAGATGGATATGTATTGGCAACATTAGTCCAATATCAGCAATACTATAGAGTTAGTGCTATTGTTATTTGTTTTTTTAGACATGTATTGAAAGATGCTATTTATGTTTGATTAGGAAATTTGTATTATCTAGTGAATAAATTTGAAACAATTTTTTACTCGATACGGTTTTGCAATGTGTCATTTTACTCTCTATTTTAGTAAATACATATTTCTTCAATAAATCTGTGGTTACCTACTGTGTTAATTTGTAAGATTTAATTCTCAAAAAAATGTCAAGTTTTATTTACATAATATTAACTGTTTTTATTATATTTGCCAAGTATTACCTTTGACATGCTGAACTTGTTGGGATTATTAAGAGGAATGTCACATTGATGCTTTCTCCACTTTTTTCACTTCAGGGTGATTTGTTAATGTTTTTCCTCTGTGAACCCTTGGAAGTTATGTTGTCAGTTTAAACTCATACTAATCAAATTTGCACTTGTTTTCAAATGAGGTTCATTACATTACAATATTATATATATTTATAATATTTACATTTTTTTTTTCAAAAAGAATTGATTGTTTTCAACTTTTTAAAAGAAGTTATATAATCTACAGCAGAAAAAAATTTTTACCAAATTTACCAAAATATAAGATGACTCCGTAATTTTGAAGAGGCATCCTCAGATTTTTTTCATTTTGTACTTATTAACACTGTTTACTGAAAATAAAATCATAAATTGTCTAATTGACTACAAAATGGTTCGTTAATAAGAAAATTGAATCTATTTGCTTGCGAAAAGAAAGTTGATACAAAGAAATTATATTTAATTGTTGAAATTCCTGAGTGTTAACACATGCTAATGTCATGAGAACACGTAATCGCATCTTCGAAATTATTTAAGACAAATAAAAAAAAAAATAAAGCAATGAATTGTTTGTACTTTTATATTTAACCTTTTATGATTTATTAATATGTAAGAAATAATATTTGTAAGAATTTATTTAATATTAATACAATTAATTTACAGAAATATTTCAAAATCAAAAAAATGAAGTTTATATTTTAATTATTAAAATATTTAAATTTATTAACATGTAACAGATAAATTCTCTATGAATTTATTTTAATACAGATTGTGTGTGTTTCAAGTGATAAAAATGTCAAAACAAATTGTAAAACGATTCTCAAACTTTATAAGTGCAGGAAAATTTAGCTAACAGATATTCTGCTTCAGATTATCGATCTCATTTCAAAAATATTCAAAATTGCAACTTTTGTATCCAGCTTCTTGATAATAGTTAATGGTGTACCAAGTCCTCTAAATTAGTCTTTAAGGAGAAGGCCGGAAGGTTAATTGTGAGAGAGTGATAGCGGAGCCGAGTAGTTAACCTTCCAGACGAGTTCTTAAAGACTAATTGAAGCCATGTTGCATACAATGTTTTTTATTTCTAGTTATTCAAAATAAATATTTAACACTTTAATGAGATACGAATTGTCATTACTCTCGATGTTCTGTAGCAAGGGTTGTTGGTACACTACAGGTGTGTCTGTACCATTTTTAAATAGCAATCGTAATGTGTGGAAGAACCAAAAGGACAAAGCAGGGAAAGGAGGAAAATCTATGGAAACTGCCATTGTTTCTTTTCTTAAAGATGTTGCTTCATCAATGGACCAAAATGAAGCACCCATTGGAAGCTTTTGACGTTATTGACCATAACATCTTCCTATCAAAATTACCCTCATATGGAATTCGTGGTATCATCCTAGATTAGATAACTTCGTACCTTAAACATCGATCTCAAAGAGTAGAAATACCGTACTGGCACGAAAGGACATTATTTACTTACCTTTCCAATTCTTTACCAATTGAATATGGAGTTCCGCAAGGCTCAATCTTCGGTCCTATTCTCTTTCTCTTATACATAAACGATATGCCATCGTCTATTAAAAACAGAAGAACAGTTCTCTTTGCCGATGGCACAAATGTTCTTTGCAAAAAAGAAACAATAAATAGTACGAGTTTAGAAGTTTCAAATTGGTTTTGTAATAACAAATTAATAGTTAATGAAGGAAAAACAGTTTCAATTAATTTTTGCATTTCAAATCAGCAATCACATGCTCTACTGAAAATGATATACGTGCAATTAGGTGATGTTCAGGTAACAAAATTTCTAGGTCTGTCAGTTCAGTCAAACCTCAAATGGAATGTACATGTAACAAAATTACACTAAATTATGTTCATTATGTTACGCATTCAGAATTCTATCAAATTCTGTCAGCGTTCATGCAGCTCATTGCGTGTATTTTGCAAATGTACATTACTGCCTGAGATATGGTATAAAATTCTGGAGAAACACATCGTGTGGTACTCAGACCTTTAGATTGCAAAAGGAAATTATTCAAATAATGAAAAAATGCAATCCGCGTTACCCTTGCAAGCCTCTCGTCATTGAGCTTGGTATCTTACCACTGCCTGGCCTATATATTTACAAATCTGTAATATTTGTCCAAAGTGACTTACTTAATGGTGGGAACATATTTTCATGCAGTACTGATATTTATAATTACAAAACACATCATATAAATCACTTTCATCAAGTGTCAGTATCAACAGCTCACTATCAGAAATCCACATACATGTACATTACTTTACAACGCACTGCCAGATGACATTAAACAATTAAAGTTCACGAATTCAACGGCTCACAAATGTAATTTAAATGTAAAATCTTTTCTGCTGCATAACTGTTTCTATACAATTAGAGACTACACTGATTATCAAAAAGAAAAATAATGTTTATTTTAACAAAACAGTGATGTATAATGAATTAGTTTACGTTTATATTGGATATTTTTTTAAAAAGATTTAATATGTTTGTAACAAATACTGTACTTCAGCTTCTGGGTCAATAACCCCCATCTTGATCAGGTTTTTGTTCAGTTTCCCTGATCCATTGAGGAAATGCGGAGATGGTCCCTTGTTTTGCTTCTGGATGTAAATGTAGCTTCACTATGCGCACGTTTTGTTGAACTCTCCTTTTGCTTCTAATAGTAAGAGTAGAGGTATGGGTGAGTTGCTATTTTGTAGCAATGCAAAATCATACTTGCAATTCGTGTAGCAATGCAAATAAATTTTCTATAACTCTGAAACGAAAATGACTATTTTTCAAGTATTGCTTATCTTACGATTTTAAAAATTTATTTATATATTTTATTTATTTATGTTAAACTTATACTCACCTTTCGACATTTTTATAGTTAAAATGATGGGAAGGGATTCTGGAACTCAAGAAAACATGTGCAGGTAATCTTTTCCCTATGTCACATACAGTTTTTACTGTTTTTTTTTTGACTGAATAAATCTAAGTCTAAGAGAGCAAGGACGAAATGAACAAAATTGGAAAAGGGGAGAAAAAGAACAAAATGGGGGAAGGGGAACAAATTAGACAAGGAGTCAAAATGACACAAGATGGACATCAGAACAAAATAAGCCCAGGGGGCAAATTAGAACTAGTGGGACTAATGGGACATGGACAAAATGATCGAAATGGGACAAAAAGGAAAAGGGAAACAAATAGGAGAAAAGGGACATATTCATCCAAAGATTCATGAGCACTAGTAAAATCTAAACCAGAGGGTTCACTAAAATATATTTAAGTCACAAGCGCTGATGTTTTGGCCGCCATTCTGCGACCTTCCTCAGGGTAATGCAAGGTCACAGGATGGCGGCCAAAACGTGGGCACCTGTGTCTTGGCCGCGGCATCACCTGGATGACCAAGAACTTAAGTTATTGCTGTTTATTTTTTCCAGTAGTAGAAAATTTAGTTTTAAATTTTTTTAAAGTGGTGTCACTAGTAGACGAAATAACTGGTTGCTAAATCAAATAATTTTTATTAACTGTTATCGTGTAAAAATAATATTTTAAAATCTTGGTTTCTTCTTTCAGATTTGAAGTAAAAGTATTGATATTGAAACTGAGTGAATCAAAGGCAATGCTCAGACAACAAAATGATAATATAAGGGCATTTAGGGACACAGGAAAACAAACATTCATGAAACATATTGCACTTCAATAAATCATTCAAAGTCTAATCTGCATGGAGTGCCAGTTAAGAATTACTGAAATGACCCAATTTTATTACTTACATATATAATATTTAAATAATAATACTTACTAAAATGATTGGAATAGCTTAACACAATACCAACAGGGACTTCACTTTTGGCTCATGTGACAGTAATGTCGAGGGGCACTCTCTGAGACATCTGAATATTCTCTTGGGAAATGTTCCATCATACATCCTCCAGGAGTCCCATTTCTTTAAGCACTTGTGTGGGTGACAGAAAGTCTCTGTGAGTCAAGTAATGATGGCAAACACCATAGTTCAGGAGTAATAAAATGTAGGACCATGCATTAATACAAAAACTCAAAAGAAAAGTTTCATATCAATGTATTTTTGGAAGGTTGTATGTGGAACATTGCTAGTGAATTGATTTCTCTAGGCACTTAAAACGCTCTTGTTTTCGAGCCTCTTTCTTGTCATAGCATTTGCCATTAGATCATTTTCAATGTTCAGATTTTACAATTATGAAATGTTTATCTATTGGTGTCTCGTTTCTGTTATTTTATTAGGATTCGTATTTTATCTAAAGGCTCTTTTGAAAACCAGATTTAATCTACAAGTGAACTTTGAAAAAAGATTTTGGGAAAAATACATGATTGAAAACATGAATATGTGGTGTAAATTCTGCTTTACAACAGCATTGCACAGTTGACGAGCCACATTTTGAAGGTTGCATTGCAGTGAATTACAGACTTGTCTGCGACGGTGAACACAAGCGTTCAGAGAAATGTGTGATCTTTCAGTGTCCAAGGTAATGACTGCATATGCAAAACATGTTAAAATATCATTGGTGAAAAGAAATAGTGGGCAAAAACCGAAGTTGTCTGACAGACCCCTGTGACATTAAAAAGGATTGTGGCTAACGTAAAACTTCCATGGTAAAAGTGACTGCAAAACTAAGAAATACTCCCTAGGATTATAATGTTTACAAAAAGCAATGAGGGAAGCTTCACAAAGCTAACGTTCATGGAAGGGCTACAATTAGAAAACCCCTCATAGTACAAAGCTGTGAAAGAAGTGGTCACGATCATAAAACCTGAACGCTTGGAAACTGGAAGAATGTGGAATGGTCAATGGGCCAATGAGAAAGATTCTGTGAGCCCTGGGTTTGATGAATCATCGTTTATACTTTATCTCTTATTAACCCCTTTTTTTGTTGACTTATAAAAACCAAAATGAAATTTTCACATTCTCATTTTTAATAAATTCTTCAAATACACGACTTTTTGACAATTTTAGTATATTGTCATCTTCAGCGTATGAAACAAATTTATTACAATAATCAATTGAACAAAATACTACATACATTACTTAAAAAATACAAATAACCTCTTATTGACATTATTTCTAATACTAATATACACAAATTAATTTTACT